TACAGAGTGGATACTGATATCTTCTCATCCTAAGTGTACAGCTGGGATTTGGTACTTTTTTCAGGATCCCCCCCAAACACTGCTTGCTGTTTTGCTCAGGATCCCTGCCTGCCAGCGACCTTTTTTGGTTCTGCTCAGTTTTTATACTTGAGATATAAGATAGATCTAAACGCTATCTGGATGACATTTATATTGTTTAAAGTGTTGCGTATAATAAACAGTTACCATTTGTTAATAAAAATGGCACCATGTTTGAATAAAATGAGGTGATCAGCAGCATCTCGGTGCTGCTGCTCACCTTCAGCTTCTGACTTCCTGTCCTACTTTGCAGAGTATCTTTTAGGTGTAGCTTCCTGATGGTGATGTCAGAACTTGCCTGCACAGTGTTTGTCATTGTGACTAGAGTAGTCTCTTCTGGGAGCACATGCCATAGAGTAACAACACAAAAGCTCCATTTTGAGACAATTGTCACCCTTTAACGGTGTCTAAAAAAAGACCCTCGCGGTAGGATCACCAGGTATCATTTTAATAGAAGCTGCAAATTTAAAGTGATTAAAAACAATCCTTGAAATTGTTTTTTAACATATTAAAGCTTATACGATGGGGTGGATAAACTAATATGGAATTCAGAAGCCAGTCTGTCCAATCAAGGAGCTGGCAGGGTTTCTTTAGGAGCCAGCTCCATTGACATCTAGAGAAAAACCACAAAAGTTAGGCGCCAGCTGTCATTTTTAAGCAGCATTGGCTACCTGGCTCCTAAGATTTGTAAAGCCCTGTTATAGGAGATTTTAGTGATTTGGGTTTACTTCTGAGAGACCTACCCATGCTATATGAAATCTCTGCATCCCTGGGAACTGCTATTGCATACCTTTTTAGCTGCCTATTATTTTGACAGGTTTTGAGCAGTTGTGTCTCGGTGTATGGCAGTGTCAGACCTAAGCTGGGACAATGATTCACAATAATATCATCCTCTTGTTGGATACAGATGTGTCTGTTGATGGGCAGACATGGGAGAGTATATTGTTTTGGTGGGTGTAAACTTTCTTGGTGAGTAGGTAACCTTTAGGCCTTTTTTAGAATGTCCAGTACCTTCAGACCTTCGGCACCTGTATTGCTGCCTACTTGTGTCTGTTGTAGGCTTTGATTCACAATGCTCCCGGAAAGGAAGGCTCTGACATGCTTGAACACCTCCGCAAGTGCAGACAGGCTTCTTTCCCAGAGACTATGTTTACCATCCGCCTACGCTATTTCAATGGTCTTATTGTCCATGATGCTTTGTCATCTTACTAGCTTGGCCATCCCCCTGTTCAGGAAGCTACGATCCTTGTCATATCTCATTTACGCAAGATAGAGATACATTTCAACAGCATGAAAAGTGGTTGATGATTCATAGTTTTGTAAATGTGTTTGTGTGAGTGTTTTGCATGAGAATCCTGAGAAAAAGAAAACTTTAACTGTTACATGAATGAAATGAGAGGCAACAACAATAAGGTCTAGAACTATTCATAGATTGCAAGACAGTATAAATATTCTTTTTTGTGTATTTGTTGACTCGCAGGACTTCTAGCTATCAAGCATGCTTCAAATATATAATCGTATAAAGGTTTATGCAAGGGTTATGTTATGTTTTATGTAAAGGTTTATAAGATGCAAATGAAGAAGGGAAAAAAATTAGAGCTCCCGATTGCTCAGCACAATACATTACCAAGGTTGTTTGTACAGACTAGTCCTTGGCTCCAGTATACTCTGTTATTAGTTACAGGAAGAAGTTTCCTAGCCTGATACTGCGCTGATGACTGTTTAATGTTTCCAGTGTTAGAGGACCGGAAAAACTCCCTCTCCCCCTCTTGTTTCGGAAGATAAAGGTTTACTTTATCGCCATCGCTGTGCAAGTTATTTATCAAGCTTCTTATTCTTCACTTTTCTGTGTTTCTTCAAAGAAAATTAGAAACGCCTCGAAAAACAAATGCTCGAAATACATTTTTTTTAGGTTTTAATTTTAATCTATATTTATTTCTTATGATTAATCAGTCTCATATTGTATTCTTTGCTAGTTATTGCAGATATACTGTATAGCAGTCCTAATGATGAATGGATAGTAAGGGCTTGTTCACACCAAATGCAGACCAGATCTGCATGAGTTTTTGCACACGCAGTGCTGTGGGTTGTGCCGCGTTTTTCATGCGTTCCGGGCCGTTTTTGGTTTTAGTTTAGAATGGGCTTTTAGTGCGTTCCAGGACGTTTGCATGCGTTTTTGATGCGTTTGCATGCATTCCAGAGCATGTAAAATAGGGCTTGCTGCAGTTTTTTTTCATGCTCTGGAACTGAATGCTGCGTTGTGCACTAGAGCCCAAAATACCATTGGAATACATTGGACGCAGTTTTGATACGTTCTGTAACTGCTCTGCTCCCCGAACACGCTTGATGTGAACAAGGCCTCAGTGTTGCTTTAGTTCTTCAGTGAGAGGAAAGTGTAATCTTTCTTTTATTATCAATCATACACTGGAAGAATAACCATCTGATATTTTAATGATTGTTGTTAAGGATAAGGCTCTCTGGGTAGGTACTCTCTGGGTAGGTACTATCTTGTTATTTTATGTGATTCTAAGGCAGCAACAATGCTGAAGTGCAAGCACCGCGTGGTACCTGTGTTCCTTTTCTAAACAATTCTTGTATTGGTGTGGAGACCATTGCATCCTAGCCCAACGATATCCATAGGGTGTCAGAATTACACGCTGGCCCACCCATTGCTATTAAGCTGTCAAATGGCAGAGCCCCTACTGACCAGTAACGTTCTAGCTATCGTCAGTTGAATGACACTGGGTGGAGTTAGTTGTGGCTTAAATCTGCCCTTGGAGGAAAGAGCCTGCATATGTACTGAGCAAATATGGCTTCCATACTTAGAAACAAAGTTGTTCAAACCTTATGAAGCATTGCTCTTATAATTAGCTGATCCTTTTATATGTGTACAATGTGTTGTTTTGAGCTGAGAAGAGTTGGATTAATAAAGATTTTGTAGGATTTCTCTTTCACTATTGCATCAAGTAAAGGTTTTACCATTTCACATGAAGGTTTGGACACTTTTGGTATTCAGGTTATCCAAATTCTCACAGTCTACAGACCGATGTACTATATATTGCCAGAGTCTCATTGTGCTAGTATTGGTGGACCGGCAGTGATATCAGGTTATTGCATACTGTAAAAAGATGTGATTGTCAGCCAGTATATTTATCATGCCATTATATCCAAGTAATTAGTTTAGCCAGTGATATGGCAAGGATTAGGATTTGTGGTTATAGAGCAGCGGGTGACCTACTAATAGTTGGTTACTTGCGTAAAAGGGTGTAAAATGGCCAGGTGTAGTTGTTGGTATTCCCTCGTGTGAAAGTACCATATGATCATACCGTGACTGGTCTTCACAGGGGCAAACAACACTGACGTTGCATGTGCAGTATACAAAATCTTCTTTGCCACTGTCTAATGTATCATCTTCCTATCGGTAAGAAATAATGCATCTTGTTCTAATAATGCTTAGCTAGTAGCTTCCAATGCTTTGAAGGCCATAAACATTGATTTTAAAAATGGTGAATGAATAATGAATGAAAAGCAATGTTTAACATGGTACCACTTATTAGTTGTGTACAGATGGATCTAATTTATTGTTGGCTTGCAGAATAAATCCTCTAGATCCAAAGGCACTTGTATATAAAAGATGGTTATCTGCCAATTGTTCTCAAAGAATTGGCCAGTTGTTTTTTCCTGTAAATTTTGGATGTTTCTCTAAGAGTATGTGCGCACTTTCACTCTGCTTTTCTCCATTTTATATGCATGCTTGGGCAATCCCAGATGGTATGTTGAAGCCCAATTGAACCATGCATTTTTAATACTGTAATGCAGTCAGGCTTAAGGGCCCATGAATGAAATGTAGATGAGAAAATCACTGGCGCCAAAAGAAAAACCGTGACACTCTCGAATCCAGCTTCAAACACACAGGGGCAGCTCCTCAGTCAGGGTAAACCGGTTATCTAAAAGAACAGAGCAAAAGGAGCGCCTCCATAAAACCAATTTAATAAAGGTAAAATACAGCTGCAAATGTACTTATAAACGACTTGTAAAAAAAAAACGAGCATTGAATAAAACGGTCTCAAGTGGATCAAGAGGTCCTCAGAACCTCTTCTGAGGAAAGAGGTTTAACCTCTGAAACGCGTCAACCGGAGGAAGATCAGTGTCCATATGGCCCTGGCTTGAACACTTACTCTTTCCGATTTCTTTCGTTTGTCCATCTTGATCCACTTGAGACCGTTTTATTCAATGCTCGTTTTTTTCAAGTCGTTTTGTAAGTACATTTCCAGCTGTCTTTTACCTTTTTTTTATTAAATCTGTTTTACACTATGGAGGCGTTCCTTTTGCTCTATTCTTTTAATTAGGGGCCCGTTCATACATACAGCAGTGATCTGCCTTTTACTGAACCCAGTTAAGGCATGTCACTGCTAGGGAAACACAGAAAAACATTGTTTTCTCTGTGTCCTGTTAATACCACAATGCGGGTGTGATGGGGGGTATGCTGTACTGGGAAATAATAAAAACATGCTGTGTGTTATCACAGCGCAGTGGATGCCACAGCAGGTCACTGCACGGCAGCACACATTGTACACTACCAATAAAGTTAAAAGAAAAAACACATACAGTGACTGCTCCGGCAGTGTGCGGTACAATGCTCGAACCCGGGCCCGAACGCCCGATGCCTATGTGGGAGGATTTATCCAGAACTGCATTGTTAACAGATGATGAAGCTTTAACTAGCGGTGTGAAGTGTCTGCAAAATAGCAATTTTATTTTTTTGGGAACATGTAGTAGAACAATAAAAAAAAAACTGTTAAGGATTTATCTCACGGCACGTAAGCAAGCTAACATTTATGTCACTGCCACTTCTACAGTCGTGTTTAGTGAGGTCCTAAACAAATAACATTTTATTTATTCACTTTTTTTTATTTTTATAGAGCAATAGCTCCATTAACAAGACGGTGATAAACTTGGTCAGGTGTTGGGGACACTTGGCAGATTAGCTGAAGCCATGACCACAGCATTTCGTGACAAGTACAGGGACATGGATGAAGATGAGCTGCTTGGCAATCTCTCCGAAGCTGATCTAAAACAACTTGAAAATGTCCTGGAAGAGCTTGATCCAGAGGTGAGAACAATTATGATGTTATCTTAGGTTGCTAATCAAGCTGTTTACTAGGCTTTGCTTCACATTGTATGGGCCCATGGTAATGTGTAAAGTGCAGTCATCTATAACAACCAATCGGGTTTTACTTTCTGCAGTCATATTGGGTAAGATGCATTCTGATTGGCTGCTAAAGGTTTCAACACGTCTATGTTATTTTATTGAAATAGGCCAGAAGTACTGGTGTAGAAGCTCCACTACAGCAGGGACAGAAATGGTGTCCAACCAATAAATCTTGTGAAATCATATGCAAGCTTAATTTTCTTTTAAAAAAAACAAAATTGTATCTATTTCTCAGGAAGCAAAGTTAATGTTATAACACTGAAAAAGTATGAAGCATACTGTTGAAGCCCTATACCGGGCAATAAAGGAACCTCTTCCCACCCCTGTTCTTTCCTGATCAAGGGAGTTGTACTTGCCTAAGTACGCTATCAATGTCCCTGGAGGGTTTGTTTCCAGTTTCATGAGATGGTTAACCCAGTGCTACAGATTGTTCATTGTTGGCCCAGGCCCCTACTGTCCCCTCAAGCTGGGGCGTCTCTTCTTCTGGATCTCAAGAGGATCCCATCACTGGACAGCCAATGGGAAGTGCCTTGCAGGTAGTGATGTGGTCACACAAAGGAAAAACCTGCCGTAAGTGAGCAGAAGAGGGCAGAACACTCTGGAGCGTCACATGACTGTAGCTTTAAATAAGTAAAAGGGCATTTAGAATTTTGTTTAGTTCAGCCATCACCTAGAGGGGTTTACATTAACCCAGAGGGCTTTCAAATATTTATATTTATTGAAATGATATATTTATAGATATTTTGATCCATTAAAGAGGCACATGAAAACGTAATTGCAAATGTTCCTTCCTGTTTTTGAATGCTAGAGTGGTAATGACCCAACCACTGGTATTAGGAAAGGGCTGTCAACAAAGGAAGGCGTGGTACACAGATAAGAATGAAACACTGTAAAAGGGAAAATAAATTCTATTTGCTAAGCACTGATAACACTTCATAGTTAATAATCAAGGCAAATCATCAAAGAAACGAATTCTTTACAGGGAAATTCTTGACAATAAAAAGTCACTTTTGTTACTGGGTGTCTTTAGAGAAGACAAGAAACTAGTTGCAAGTACATACTATTCTAAATATTTTGCCTCTTACTGCTCTGGGTGTTTTTTTTTTATTTTTTTATATTAAATATATTCTGTTGCAATTGTAGATTATTTTTATTTTCTTCCCAAGCAGAATATTGAAGTATAACTATACATTTTAAAATTTGTACACTCCCTGACTGAATCCAGGGACAACATTCTACATTTTCAAATAAAACATTATCTCATTACCTTTAGCTATTCTTTCGAGCTGTGCAGCACTCCAGTCTCCGGACACTGGTGAGATCACCTGTCACTTTTTACTATCCTCCATTCGCAAAATGTCTTGTGTATATTTTTTGAAGACTACAAGACATTTTATGATTGGAGGAGGAGAGAGAGGGGTGGGAATGCACCCTCTCTCTTCTCCCAATCACAGAATTTCTTGTACTCTTTAAAAAAAAAATACAACACATTTCTGACTGGAGCATAGTAAGAAAGGTTCTGGTGATGCGACCGGAACAGTGTATAGCTCGAGTCGCATCTCTTCCTTTCATCAGTGCCTGGAAGCTAGGTGTTGCATGCAGGGGACTGTGTGCTGCAAGGTAAGATTTTCATACTTTGGAGCAGCCCTCTGCACATAACGCCCAGTGCGGTGTACATACTGTTGGGTGCATACTGCTTACTATCATACTATTCACACTCCTCTCTTGTACATACTGCCCACTGTCATACTCTCTGAATTCCTCTCCTGCACATACCTGCTATCATACCCTCTGCACTCTTCTTCTGCACATAGTTACACAAATTTCTCCTGCATATACTGCCTCCTCTCATATTCCTCTCACTACTGTCTTACACATACTGCATCCATAAACGGTTCTTCACGAATGTTTGTAATCTCCCCAACCTTACCTGTTGTGAAATGGCACACTTTTGCTAGTTAAAATGGATGGGGACAGCTTGCTGAAGAGTAGCCTGTCCCAGATAAAGCAGAGTTTATGGGAACTAATACATTTTAGTGAAAGACTAATATTTTACATATATAAGCATTTTCAAATCTGTGACCTTATGGTTTAATTAATTTGACACTTATGATTGTTCTCACAGGAGCTTAAAATTTTATAACAATTTTTGGAAAGCAGTCTAATTAATCCTTCAATCCCTTCAGTACAGCACACTTGGAGATTAGTTCTGTCTTCTCTCCTTTTCCCCTATGTTCCCATAATATTCTGACTCCTGTCTTCAGAGCTCCTGTGTATGAACTAGTTTCTGTTTGGCTTCTGTTTTGCATTTCGTGTAGAGCAATAGTCCCTCCCCAGGGTCTGTTCTTAGAGCTCCGGGGCTTCAGGCAAGAAAGTACACGAAAAGTCTTGCTGTTTGAAGCCACCATTTATCATGTGCTTGGAGAAACTCTTTTCATCTTAATATGTTTTGTTACTTTAGCTTGCAGTTTCCCAGATTATCAGAATATACTGGTGGTTTATTGTAATACCTTTATTGCTTACCTAATAGGAATATGCAAGACCTCCATTCTGATAAGCAGCATGCAGCAAGCCCCGTAACTGCAAAGTTACAGTGCTTGCCGCCCTCATCTTCATAACATTTTCCAAAATACGGCCCTTATTATCCAAAGACACAACTAAGCTGTTAATTCTCTCGTTATCTCTCACCTCGACTATTGTAACTGCTTCCTCGTTGGCCTACCTCTGCACAGGCTATCCCCTTTTCAGTCTATCATGAATGCTGCTGCCACTCCTCTACCTTGCCCAACTGCTCATTGTCTGCCACATCTCTTTACCAATCCCTGCACTGGCTTCTGCTTGCCCAAATAATAAAATTCAAAATACTAACAACGACTACGAGCCTCATCTTAAAATATCACCCATACCATCCTCTTTGTTCCTCAGTACCTCTTGCTCTCTCACTTCCTTGTTATCTCCACTCATGTTCGCCTTCAGGAATTCTCTACTCTCTCTACTGGAACACTCTACCTCAGTCTGTTCACCTATCTCTGTCCACCAGTAGATGATGCCTGAAAAATCATCTCTTCAAGGAAGCTTATCCTACCTTTACCTAAGAACTGAACTTTTATTTTCTCCATCAGCTCATCCCCACAATGTTGCTACCTTTTTGTATCACTTGTCCCTCCCTTTTAGTTTTTAAGCTATCGCAAGCAGGGCCCTCCAAACCCTCTGGTCTTAAATGGTATTGTAACTGTACTGTCCTTTTTTGTTTTTTTTCTGTTCAATACTTTTTATTGAAACAAACAAAGTACAATATATAAGTACAATAAATGGAAGTATAGCAAATACAATGAAAGAACTTAGACATGATAATATGAGTCAAAGCATGTTAGATAACACAACCGTCTCGATGCATCACTGCAGTAACCATAACAATCAAAATCACCCAACTTTAGGTAAATATCCCCAATGGTCTCGAAGCCCTATAGATGAAAAAGATGGGGGGAAAAAAAGGAAAGAGAGAATATAAGCAATGAGAGGTACAAAGGTCAAAAAGTAGAGAGAAAACGCATGTCTAAATCAGCAAAACCACGCAGTGTCAATGTTGGATAGTTAAGGAATCCATATGAAAGGAGGGAGGGAGGTATGATTTCAATCCAGGGCTTCCACAAGTTCAGAAATTTAGATAATGTGTTGCTCTGAAACGCTGTTAGTCTCGCAGGTTTTGTTTTTTGAAAAACTGTTTGGCTTCCCCAAAGGGTATGTTGGGTGACTTCCAAGCCTTCGCAATGATCCTCTTAGATTCTGTAAGAATAAAAGTTATCAACCGAAATTGGCGATGAGTACATGCCTCCGGCTTCTTATTCAACAATGCCTCTAGGGGGATCCTTAAGGAAAGTCCTGCCCGTTACAGTGTACAAAAATCGGTAAACTCTACACCAAAATCGTTTGGCCTTGAGGCAATTCCACCAGATGTGTAAAAAGAACCTTCTTTCCAGCAGCCCCAGAAACAATAAGGAGAATAGGAAGGAATAGCCCTGGATATTTGTAGGGCACAAAATACCACCTAAACAGTACTTTATAATTTAGCCTCCACCGCTTGAACATTTGCAGAGCTTTTGGAGGTAGTGGAACAAATCTGCCCACAGGTATCTTCATCTATAGATTGACCAAAGTCCCGTTCTAACTTCTGGGCATACAATGGAGGCACGCTGTGAAGTTTATCCAACAATAAGGCATACAGAGTAGAGATAATTCCAGGACCCCGAGTGTCCCTGCATATGAGAAGCGCTCAAAAGAAGTTGAGGATAAAGCCATATGTGATCCTATCAATCTTTGCAGGAAATGTTTCATTTGTAAGAACTGAAAGCTAATTTGTTTGTCTTGGAGGATTTGAAAAAATAGAATACCAAGTCCAAAATGCTTAACTAGGTATAGTGAACGAGAGTGCCCTTTCCGAAAAGCAATAGGATTAAAGTATCCCGGCAAAAATAACAGATTGCCCAAAATCGACATCAGTGGAGCATTAGGGGACATTCACTTCAGGGAACGTTGCAGCCCATCCCAAATCCGTAAGACATGTTTAGTGATTGGGCAAGTTACCACCTTTTCTAAGCTTCGAGGGTAACCAGAGGAGATTAGAAGGTGCTATAATGGAACATAAGTAAGTCTCCAAAAAAGACCCTTAAAGACATCTCTGATTTCCCTGTACCAGTACACCAAAGGAGCTAACTGAGCAGCCTGAAAATATTTTTGGAACCAGGGAAGACCCAGTCCACCCTGTCGTTTAGTTCAATAAAGAATAGAGTGGGATACTCTCGGAAAGGAACCCCGCCCAGACAAATTGCAGTATTTGCCTTTGCAGAGCACGCAATCTGAAGGTAGGGATTGGAACAGGCAAAACTCTCACATGGTACAGAAATTTAGGCAGTAGTGACATTTTAACAGCTGTGACCCTTCCCAGCCAGGACAAGGAATGTTTCTCCCAAGAGGACAATAACAAATTAGGATATGAGAATAACTTGGGATAGTTCACCTAATACAGTTGATCATACGAAGGAGTTCGTTGGATCCCCCATCAGGTCAAGGAGGAGGTTACTAATTTGTAAGGGAATGTCAATTGTAACGTTTGTCATACGGTAGAAGTGAGGGATACATTGAGTGCCTTTAGACTGTGCCATGTTAACATAAACCCAAGAGATCCCCAAAGGGCTGTAGCTGAGTCTCTATTTTTTAAAGAGCGGTGTAAACTGTAATAATACAAATAATGTCTCAGCTTTTGACTGTTTTTGCTTCGGCAAATAGCTTTTTTTTTTCCTTTCAAATCAGAGTTTTCTTGGATGTCTGAATTGCCTGTTCATTTGAAGAGATAATTTAAAGTTAACCTGTTATAATAGAAAAATGGGAGTGGTCATTTTCTTTTTTATAGGTTGCTAGTTTCCTGGCTTGTCATGCGTAGCCTATGGGTCTCATCAGGACAGGTGGATGGGGCATTTCAGATTACAGGACCTCCTACTATTTTCAGTCATGGGCTCCTTCCTCCTCCCCCTTTGTTGTTTTTTTTTTTTTTTTTTTTACTAAAGCACCCCACAATCACACACTATCTCTATAGCCTTTAGTAAAAGCTAGGCATTTATTCACCTCCCAAAAAATACTACAATCAAAGGCAGGTCTAAAATGAGAGGCCTTGATACTGCAAGTGGCGGTATTACAGGATGAGCAGGTCCAGCAGAACATAGTGGTGGTAGGGCCACACAAACTGGAAGTAGGGCACATGTGTATTTTTTTTTTTTTTAGAGAACCCATCATTAAAAAACCTTCAGAGTGCAAAATTACCCAAGGTGCCAAAAGGCCGCTTAGTCTTCAGAAATATGCCCTTGTGCATAAAGTTCCTCTTTTAGAGAGAGACCCCTCTCGGCATGCAAAAATTCGGCATGCAAAGATTCTCCATAGATGCAGTTAAAAAACAAACCCTGTACACGGAAAGATGACACCCATTCTTTACAGGACTCCCAGTTCACTGTCAATGAGAAGAAAATCTTGTCATCTTCCCTGCCAATTTTTTTTTTTCCTACTTCCCTGAAGGCAGCCATGACAAAAGTAGTTTCTGAATTTCCATCTGCGTTATAGTGGATAACTACAATGTGCTAAAATTGGTGGTTGATAAATGTGTTTTAACCTATGTTTTGCATAAAGTGCTTTTTAAAATTCATTTGGTTGTATCCAGAAACCATGAACATCAACTAATGGATTTTTTACGTAACAGAATGCACTGCTGCCAGCAGGATATCGACAGAAGGACCAGACAGAAAAGCAAGCCACAGGTGCTTTTGATAGGGATGGTCTGTTGGATTTTTTGGAAAAGGATGCACTTGCACAGAAGGACAGGGAGGACTATGTGCCATTCACAGGAGAAAAAAAAGGTAAGATAGCCATACGTTCTATATGGGTCCATCTTGAATACAAACAGCACTTAATAGTTTACTTCAAATATTACCAAACATTCAATTTAAGTTATTGAATAATGTTTGGTATTGATGTCTGCAACACTAAAGTAGGGTATACAGGGGTAGATTTTCACATGAACATTCATAAAAATAAAATCCCATCAGAATGTTCGATAATACCATCAGAGGCGTATTCAATTTCGTTTGATTTTTGTTTTTATTTAACATTTGATTTGGGAAAGAATGGACTTTTCTGAGCGAAAACCACATTCACCGTTAGTTCCATTTGATTGAGAAACATTTTCCAACATGACCTTAGAATTTTTCATTATTGCGTTCATCAATTTTCACCACATCAATAATTAGAAAGTTGAACGAACGTTCCGAAAACAGTTTGATTTGTTCTAAATTCTAACCTTGTATACCCAATCTAAGTCTGTCTTTTCTGATATGTTAAAACTCATTGAGCATATTATACCGTACATTGAGCTGTCTGTTGGGTTTCATTTGTGGTGCTTATATACACTCTCACTCACTCTCCCTCTCTCTCCCCCCCCCTCCCTCCATACTGCATTTGTCTACGTATGTAAATCTGATTTTCTGCTATGCAGTCTATTATGGATTGAACATGAAGGGTGTTTCCTAGTGCATGTTGATCACAAAACAAACTAAGTCAAGTATTTAGGTGCCATAAACGGGGCGAACGTACATATTGGTAACTGATTGATTGAACTTGAGTCCCAGCTGATGGACCTGTGACTCAGACATGAATGAATTAAGAGATAGGGTGAACAATTTGGTTACAATACCTTAAATGGAATTGTTTTGCGGCGTTCATACCTGCACAGATATAGTTCACACGTTACTTTTTCTTTGCTGATTATAATTGGTAAAACACTAAAGCAACAACTCCAACGGACTAAATAAGGACACAAATGCTGTTGATTGATTTAGAAGAACTCCAAAGTTTTCCCTTAACCTTTGCAGTGGGGCTTCCCCAGCACTACAAGGGTTAAGTGCTCCTTTTTATCTAGGTGATAAAAAAAAAAAGTTACTCGGCCGAACCTCAGAGCTTGCCGCCGGCTTCTCTGGACTATGAAGCCTGTCTGCTCCTACACTGCAGCATTGGAATGTTCCAATACACTGTGTATAGACCGTGATGATTTAAGGCACCTTAGACCGCTGCAGCGGAGTGGGAGAGAGGCTGGAAGGACCGGTCTAAGAACAAGCCGGCTCCACGGTTTAGGGGGCTTCTTTTTTTTATGCACCTAGACAAAAATGAGCAGCGCGGGGGTAGTTGGGCAACCCCCTCACTCCAAGGGTTGATAAAAAAAAAATCTGCCTGGAGTTCTTCTGTAATGCACACACTTTTTTTTTTTTTTTCTTATTTTTTTTGTTAAACAGCAGACAGTAAATATAGCTGCAGTGATTAGTTTGTTTTTAGAAAATGTTTAATATGTTTGGCCCTAGAATACATTATTATACGTAACTAAAGATTTTATTCTATGGTATGATTATTCCTTTGTAGCCTCACTATTTGCAAATACAGTAAGTTTACACCGTTCATTTCGGTTCCATGGCTGCTACACCTGGCAGTCAAATCTTATTTTATTAGGGCAATCAGCCTGGATGGAAATAGCAGACACAGGAAGGGTGCAAAATTATTAATAGATTATTGTGGCTTTGTCTAAACCGTGCCAGTGCCATGTAGAACAATCTTGCACATCTCCCTACCTGAAATAAAAAGATTTGTTTTTTCTTAATGTCAATGTAAAAAGTACATATCCATCTAAGACTAGCATGTCTACAGGGTGCCAAATGCAGTGAATTCACTGCAGAACAAACGGCATTGTCACTCTGGTCCAGGAAGTGGAAAAATAACAGCTATACTGGCAGGATAAACAGGTAATACAACTATGTTATGGTGGGACTTAGAAATACAAAAATTGCTGTGGTAATGCAAGGGGCAGGCTACATCATGTCATGTTTACAAAATGTTGAATAGTTTTCAGTGAAATGTTCATTTAAAAGGCTGCAAATTGAGTATTTTGTATCAGATTGTGGCCTTATACATGCTTTCCATGTAATATAGCTGGCACTTGTCAAAAAAGGCACCTTTTGTGTAATGAGCGGCTATCATTCACTTTTGGTTTGGGTGGCTACATGCCGAAACCTCTTTCTTTAGTGCACAGGTTAATAATTGCTTTATGTCCATCTAAGATTGACTGACTCTTACATGGCCCATTATTATTTGTGAAAGTCTGCAATCCAATAGGATTTTAGCTTGACATACACTTTGGCCATTCACACTTCATTCATTCACTATTATAATTCTGTGCCTGCTTTGAATCTAGCATTTAGTTTAGTATTGGTTAACTTTCTTGATACAGGGGTCTCAAGTACGGCCCTTGAAATCACCAAAGAGCCACATAATAATCAGTGAAGGTAATGATGCAGAAAACTGTCATAGACCCTGAAAGAAGAGATGGTCAGAGGCCGCGTGCGCTATCCAAGGGGTGGTCAGAGGCCGCGTGCGCTATCCAAGGGGTGGTCAGAGGCCGCGTGCGCTATCCAAGGGATGGTCAGAGGCCGCGTGCGCTATCCAAGGGATGGTCAGAGGCCGCGTGCGCTATACTATACTCCAAAGACATGCTGGTAGATTAATTGGCTCCTAAATTGGCCCTCTATGTATACATGTGAGATAGGGACCTTAGATTGTAAGCTTCTTGAGCGTAGGGACTGATGTGAATGTGCAACTATGTAAAGTGCTGCGTAAATTGTCGGCGCTATATAAATGCATGTAATAAAAAATAATAACATACAAGAGATGGTCAGGGGCTGTGTGCACTATAGAAGAGATGGTCAGAGGCTGTGTGCGCTATACAAGAGATGGTCCGAGGCTGTGTGTGCTCTCTACTAAAGATGGTCAGAGGCTGTGTGTGCTCTCTACTAAAGATGGTCAGAGGCTGTGTGTGCTCTCTACTAGAGATGGTCAGAGGCTGTGTGTGCTCTCTACTAGAGATGGTCAGAGGCTGTGTGTGCTCTCTACTAAAGATGGTCAGAGGCTGTGTGTGCTCTCTACTAGAGATGGTCAGAGGCTGTGTGTGCTCTCTACTAGAGATGGTCAGAGGCTGTGTGTGCTCTCTACTAGAGATGGTCAGAGGCTGTGTGTGCTCTCTACTAGAGATGGTCAGTGGCTGCGTGCGTTCTCTACTAGAGATGGTCAGTGGCTGCGTGCGTTCTGCAAGAGATCACTGTTTTTACAGCCCCCTTGAAATTATTTGTGCCACATTTGATATTTCCTTCAGTAGGATTCATTCTAAAAGATTAGTGGAAAAAACCCACAAACACTGAAAAAGGATGGACAGCACGGAAAAAGTAACCTGGTGAGAAAGAAATAAACCAAGTTGTTTAACCATTTAAAGGCATTCTAAATATTTTTCCTTTTACTGTCTTGAGTAAGCACCAAGGGAAGGAAAACATAGGCTACTGTCTGCAGGGGCCCCGAGAGCCACACAATAAATGTCAAAGGCCTGCAGTTTGGGCTCCATGGATTGAGTCTGTAATGTTACGTTAGACATCAGTGTCCTATTTTATGTCTCCACAATACATTGTGATTTATGACTTGCATGGCACTCCTGTAAACTTTGTACAGCATTCTATAAAGCATATCCACCGTCTTTCCTTTTGTAAGGGTAAAGCCTTTCATATCGTTTTGGTTCTTTTGACTTTTTACTAGGGTCGTAGTCTGTGGAAAACACATAAATGCAGTTAGACTGGCACTGCTGTAGTAAGTAAAATCTTTAGCAATCTTAACGTGACACTAAACTCAGGAGTTAAATCTTAAAAACACATTCAAGTATCTTAACTAACAAAAAATGTATCTTATTTGTGTATGACTCAGCTGTAGATCCTCAAATCATCGCTGAATTGGTGCTGACACTGTCCTTCCTTCTGGAGGGTGGCTACTTTTGTTCCGACAAGGGGGGCTGAATTGCTGCTAATACCAAAGAGCATTGACGTGATCCCATCGTTGTTCATAGTGCTGTTGTTGGCCAGGGGAGACTTCACACCCACTAGCCACAAAGACAGGGCATAGAGGTGAAGCTTTGTGGTCAATTGACCGCATAGAAAAAAACTTTTATTAATGGTATTTACATTGCGATTTATTAGAGAATGTATGCAGGGAATGTATGCGGATGTGCAGTTCGGGTGTGCGAATGACCGCGTATGGCTGTATCCTCCCATAGGGAAGAACAGGCTGCTACACGCATCAACTGTCCCTCTCGGGAACAGCCCAATACGGGCGTGCACGCCACACGGGTGTGTACGCCCCAAGTTAACATGTGAATGAGGCCTTATTGTGTAGCCTTTCCTTTCACTTTAATTACTTAAATTAATAATTGTAATCTGATTATCTGTGTTGGCTTCCTGCTCTCCTGGAGGAAACGCTTTGAAGTTGTAGCATTGGCAATATTTAAGCACTGCTGTGGGAACACAGATTGTGGTATCGTGCCATGAAGACTCTCGGGCCATGTTGTTACTTGTCAAATTCAGATGAATTGATAAATAATACACCTTGTTCGTACATGAAACCGGATAGTTGTCCTCACCTGCTGAGATCCTGCCCTTACTTGTGAGAAGACAAAGATCACTCCAACACTTCTTGTTTTGCCGAAATATCCCGACAGCGGTGAAGTTGCCAGCGTTAACACACTCTCACCATTTGCATGCGCCTTGAATATTCTGAGTATTGCTTACATGGAAGTACACTGTTTGCTTAATGTTTAGTTTTAAGTCCTGTGATTCATTGCCAGCTTTGTCTCCCTTCCTCTCTTTTTATGTACACAATATATTAAATACAATAGCGCCATGAAATGCTTCTTTGACCTTTTGTAGTTACCTCCTTTTAAACTTAAATCTGGCAGCGGGTGGTAAATATAGAGAGATCTATGGCATCCGCTGTCACTTGTCCT